GTGGAGCAAGGTAGAATCTCCATTGAGTAGTATCCATTCTGTATAGTTGGGGCTGATGAAAGGAGATGCGGATAGGTCTCTTGCGATACAATAGCAAATAATTGTTATCAGGACTGATTGTAAGGGCTGGAAATGTAAAGGTAGACATTTTGTGGCAAAGGGAGGGGAGTGATTAACTTTGCAGTCTAGGAGCAGAGGTCCCTGGGACCATCAAGGGAGAAGAGTAGAGAACGGGACCTTACCCAGAGAAGCACTGATGCCAGGGATAGAGGCAGAGATGATGATGTGGGGAGATGAAGCAGCTGGGGACTTTGGACCCAGAGAGGAAGAGGGGCTGTGTGCGGATGACCGGGGGGCAGGCTTGCGGGGTATACTCTTTGGCTGGTGGATGATGCATGGAGAGGATTGTAACCATGACAATGAAACGATATACGATAGGATCAATGTGAAGCTAATGTCCTCCCATGTAAACTATCACATAATTCACAATAAAGCATTAAAAAAAAACAACCTGATACTCTGTTCTGTAAGCCTTTACTCAATTCTCAATAGTTTAAGAAAAAAACCCATAATGAATTATGGTGAATAAAGAAAGGGTCAGGTGTATAGAAAAAAAAAAAATGCAGTCATTCCAGAACAGAGTCCCAACAGTTGCTGGTGGAGCAGGAAAGATGAAGTGATGAAAGCTTCCAGAAGCTGAGAAAGGAGCAAATGAGAACTTCAGTCACTAATTATTTCCCACACAGAAAGTTCTATTACTGTAGAACTCTTAGCCAGGAAAAAAAAAAAAAATTCTGTGAAAGATTTGAAATAAGCTGCTGAGAACAGAATGAGTACAAGCTTGAGAGCTTACTTACTTGTTTAGACAAAGATGAGCTTCAATGAAAATATCCTTTGCTTTTTCTGGGAAGTCCTTTGTTTTAAAATTTGCATCATATTCTTTTATCTTCCGGATTCTGTAAAATTAAGCGTGAGAATCATTTCTAAAGGAAACTTTGTAACTTACATTGTTCTTACTGTCAGGTGCCACTGAGTCAGTTCCAACTCTATCTTTGAACAACAGAATGAATCACTGTCTGGTACTGTGCCATTCTTACAATTATTGCCAAGTTTGAACCGACTGTGGCAGACACTGTGTCAACCCATCTGGCTGAGGGTCTTCCTCTTTTTCACTGACCCTGTTATACTGACGTTTAATTTCTGTCCAATTACTCAATAACTTGTTTATTTTTAAGCTGTTAAGGCCTATAATTCTAACCTTCTATCTTGTATCACCCATTTTAAAGAAAAAACAAAGCCCTTCATAGTGAAATTTGAGAATTCTAAAATAAAAATCATCCTATAAGCATTAAAAAAGAGAAAATTAATTTCATACAAGGGAACAATAGAACAACATTGGGCTTCTAAATAGCAACAAACGGAGTCCTGGGAGGGTAAGCGCAGGACCACAAGGTTGGTTTGAAGCACAAGGTCTGTGGTTCAAATCCACCTAATTTGAATTCAGAAACCCTATACAGAGTCAATGAGAGTCGGAACTGACACAACAGCACTGAGCAACAACAACAACCCAGAAGCCTATACCTGGGAAAACTGTAAGTCAAATTAGGAGCAAAAGCTTTCTATTTAGACAATTCATTCCAATTCATGCTTCACAATTCATTCGTCAGAGTAAGTTTTTAAAAAATGAAATTTCATCAAGTCAATTCCTTCATTTAAAGTGTGATTTACCATTGCCTTCTGGATAAAGTGACAATTCCTAAGCACAGCCCTGCCTACTTGGCTGTTTGCAGTCTCATTTCAGTTCTATTTTCCTACTCATTTCACTAAGGAGCCCTGGCAGCATAATGAGTTATGAACTGGGCTGCTAACCGAAAGCTCAGCAGTTCATATCTACCAGCTGCTCTGTGGGAGAAAGAGGAAGTTTTCTGTTCCCACTGAGAGTTACAGTCTTAGAAATGGGGTCACTATGAGTCAGAACTGACTCCATGGAACACTATCACCACTTATTTCTCCAACCATACTGGCTTTCTTCTGATCCTTGGATTTTTCTAGACTCTTTCTACCTCAGAGCTTTTGCCTGTATTCTCTCTAGACTGCTGTTCCTCACTAGCCACACCACCCAGCTTATGCTAAACGATCCTTTAAGCTCCAACTTTCAGTGTCATATCCTTACGGGAGCCTTCCTACCCTGACCTCCCAAACCAAGCTACACTTCCTTGCCACATGTTCCCACAGCACTGGTACTTCATTATTCCTGTAATTATTCAATTGTGTGTAATCAATATTTAATGAATGTTTTCATCCCCTACATGATAACTCCATGATAACAACCATTGTTGACACTACCATCAAAGAGCTCAAAGTCCAAAAGGAAAAAAAGTAAGTGGAAGAAAATCAATGCAGCATAGTCATTAGAAGTAGTTAGGTATGAGGATACAGAGAGAACCCCAAAAGGGTTGAAAGTGAACAGGATGATTGAATTTAGTCTTGAGGAGTAAACTGGAATTACCTGGTAAAGAGGGGGAAAAAAAACATTTCCAGGCAAAAGAAAGGATATGCAAAGACACAGAGGCATGGCAAAATATAGTCAAAGAACTTCAATTAGCTTAAAAATATTGAAGTTCATAGTGGAAAAAAAAGGGGGCAGAAAATGATGGAGGGCAAAACAAGGTCCAGATTATGAGAAACCTTAAATGCCCTGAAGATAGGGATTCTATTCTTCAAGTCACAAGGAACCAGAGTTTGAAGCAGATAAGGTATTATGATGTGATCTGTATTTAGAGAAAGAAATATGGTCACATGAAGAATTAACATTGACTCAGCAGTACTACTTATACACATAAACCTACATACAACCCTGAAGTTAAGAGTTAGAGCGATAAATACTAAGTATTTATGTCATTTTGACAAAAAGATAGACAAAAAAGGAGGTTCAGGCTTATGACCATGAACTAAAGCCCAGTTACCACCCTACAACAGATGGGTCTTCTAGTCTTTTCCTACTCTCTGAAGTGTACTTCTGAGGTATGTTCTCTTTCATTATCATTAAATTTAAACCATATGACCAAAAAAGGGTTCTACGAATTCCAAAGTCAAGCTCCTAACTGATATGACAAAAATTACCAACAAAGACCAAGATGCAAAGAATCAGAATGACCGCATTGTTTTGCATTTAACACAGACTCTATTATGGTGGTTGTGGCTGTGCCATGGAATCGGTTCTGACTCATGGAACCCCTATATAGGGTTTTTGTGGCTATAAATCTTTATAGGAGCAGAAAGCTTCACCTTTCTCCTGGGGAGCTGATGGTAAATTTGAACTGCTGACCTTAAGTTAGCAGACCAAGCGCATAACCGCTGCGCTACCAGGGCCCCTGGACTCTATTATGTTGCTGTTGTTAAGTGCCATCAAATCGATTCCGACTCATGATGACCCTATATAGGGTATCTGATGAGCAGCTGGTGAGTTTGAACTGCAAGCCTTGTGGTTCACAGTCCTGTGTGGATCTGCACAGGAGTCCAGACTCTATTATAGAGAAAGAAAATACTGCCAAATTATCAAGGAAGTTATACCACCCCAATCAACTCAAGAATACCTCTCTAGAATTAAATGGTGGTGGCAGCTATGTCCCACCGAGTCAGTTCTGACTCAAAACAACACTGTAGAGGGTTTCTGAGGTTGTAAATCTTTACAGGAGAAGAAAGTACTCTCATCTTTGTCCTGTGGGCCAACTGATAGACTTCAACTGCTGACCCTGCGTTAGAAGCTCAACTTGTAATCTACTACCCTACCAAGACAACACATTTTTAAAATTTTAATATGCACTCTCAGCTGTCTTAGATACCTACGACAACTGTGACGCTATATTCTTCTTCATTCGTTCAGCTCTCAGTTTCAGGCCTTCCTTTGAAAGAGATGACATGCGCGCATCACCCTCAGGAGGAACATAGGCGTCAAAAATACCAGCTATAATAAGAGACGGAGAAAACAAAGAAGAAAGTGAGGAATGGTTGAGAAGTCACTGTGAGGTCATAGAAAATTGAGAAGGATCCTGGATATAAAGGAGATGAAGGAAACAGACTTGCATGCAGAGGGACACGTGCTACAATTAAAAAAAGACTACGACTTTGTCTTCTTTCTGAGCCTCAATTTCTACTTCCACAAAATGGGAAGATTTCATCCTTGTTTTCTAGGAATAGTGTGAAAACAAGATCAAAGATGACCTCACAAATATGTTGTGTATAAAGTCAGTCATGATTGGGGTTGACGTGATTTCATGGCTAATTGCTGCTGTTCTTAAGTGTTGTTGGTTCCAACTCATAGAAACCCTGTATAGGAGTTGCTGGTGGGTTCAAAAGCTGTTCATCATAATTCAAGTCATTCCACTTCCCAGAAGATCTGAAATAGGGAAACTGAATCAGGGCTCGAGAAATATCACACCTCACCTGTACAGGCCAGATGTATGGGGCGATCCAAACGTTCTGGTGGAATGACCAATCCTGCTTTCCGAGCATGTTCTAGGAACTCCTTTTCTGAGTTGAATTTAGGTTTATATGTAGGTGGTGTGAAGCGTTTTTTAGTTCTCACTGGAACTACAGCTATGGACTGAGCCACCAGGGTTGGCTGGAAAAAAAGGGAAAGATTGAAATAATCTGAGGAAAAATCAATCTTGAGCAACTATGTAAAGCTGTTTAGGAAGGGTCCATCCAAAGAATGACTTAGCAACAAATTATAAAGCGATTCACCACGGGGGGAGGGAGGGATGCATTGCCGGTAATACATTAGCATTTACATGTGCCTCTTTTTTAGCAGCGAGTAAGCAACCTTTCAACAAGCAATCTTCTTGGCGCTGTGGGCCACACTTGTAAAGCAATTTAAACTACAAAACCGGCAGTTTAAGCTCATCAGCTGCTCCTCGGAAACTCTACACAGGGTCGTTATGGGTTGGAATCGACTCAACGGCGCTTAACAACAAGCAACCTTTTTACTAACCTCAGCATTTACAAAAAAATCTTCTATACACTTTCCTATAGACAGACCTATGCTAATTCCTATGGATGGAAAGTTGATTAAAGCAAGGTTTCTACTTTCCAAGAATAGTCTATCTAAAGGGGAATTAAACATCAACTAAATATTGAAACGGGCACAAAGCTATTATTAAAAGAGAAGCAAAATCCTCTTGGCACTTCCTCCAAGTTTACTCAGATTGCATTCTGCCCATTCTATCCAGAATCTAAGTGTACATTTAATTTCGTCGTTCTAGCTCCCAAATGACCAACAGAATCTTTAAAGGCTGAGAGATCTTTTCTCTCTAACCTTGAGGTTTGCTCATGCAGGAGCAATAACGATGTCGAAGTCTCGCCTTCCACGTTACTGTGCACTTTTAAACACTCACGAAAAAATTATGGTAAAGGAGTCCACCTTGAAAGCCTTTAACACCTCTCCTCGAGACCAAACAAACTGGAGAAACTTAATCACTTGAACTTGCTCGCCCTCATGGCTCTGCACAGTCTCTCCCCATTCTGCCGCCATAGACCTCAGTAAGGAAGCCTGTCTATTTCAAACTTCCCCAACATAGGTGTGACCGGTGTACTCCAAGATCACCAAAGACAACTGCAAAGCATTATTCCCCTCTACTCTGTCCTCCTCCACTAGTCCGTTGGCTTCTATCCATTCAATTTCTACCCACCTGTCGAGACCAACGGCCAAAGGCCCTAGATATACAAAACAACCCCCGCGGTATGGGGGCTGCCATTTTGCTGACGCTAAGGCTGCCGGGATAGGTGCTGAGAGAGAGAGCGTGCGACTCCAGAGACGGCTCACAGGGTGGAGCTAGCTCTAAGTGGAATTTTCCAGGGCGCGCGCCCTCAGCCGAAGTGTACGCACGCGGGCGCGCACGTGCGCGTGGAGGGAAGCGAAAGATGGGGCGACCGTGCGTGTTGAGACGGCGTTGGGGGTAGGGTAGAAGGCACGGCTGTCACGCGCCAGGAACTTTGACCGAAAGCGCTAGAATGCAAGTTGCGCCTGCGCAAGGCGCTCTCTGGCGGCTAGTGGTTGCTGTGTGTGCTTGGGATTTTGCTGTACTCTAGTTCCATTCGGTGAAGAATGAACAACTGTTTCCCTTCTAAAGTCAGAGAACTTTGAGACGTGTTATTTTCTTCGATCTCATAAAGGACTAAAATGATATGGACCTGGATCTGACCTCAGTGTATACTCATACTGTGTAACCTTAAACCTGAGTCCCTGTTTCCCACCTGTACCATGTGAAGCAAAGTCTTTTCTTACTGTCAAATTAGAATAAACACTGGATTGTTAACCGCAAAGTCGGCAATTCGAATCCACCAGCCGCTTCAATGTAGAAAGATGAGGCTTTCTGTTTCCATAAAGATTTACAGTCTTTGAAACTATATATAGGGTCATAACAACAACAACATAGAATTAACTCGATGGCAGTAGGTTTTTGTTGTTTTCTGAGAAGACCCCTGGTGGTGCTATGGTTAAAGTGCTTGCCTGGCAACAGAAAAGGTTGGTACTAACTCATTGGCAGAGTCCTGGTGTGCCGTTGTGCGTTAATGCACTGGTCTGCAAGGTCAGTGGTTCAAGCTTACCAGCTGCTCCTTGAAAACCGTATACAGGGTCGTTAGGCGCCAGAACCAACTCTCTGGCACTTAACAATAACTCATTAGTTGCTCTATGGGAGAAAAGAACTGATGTGTTACTCCTATAAAGACTGTTGTTGTCAAGTGCCCTCCAATAGGTTCTGACTCATAACGAGTTGGCCTGCTAACCTCAAGGTCAGCAGTTCAAAACCACCAGCGGTTCAGCGGGAGAAAGATGAGGCTTTCTGCTCCCATAAAGATTTACAGCCTTGGAAACCTTATGTTTTTGTTGTTAGGTGCCATTGAGTTGGTACCGACTCATAGCAACCCTATGTACAACAGAATGAAACACTGCTCGGTCCTGGGCCAACCTCACAATTGGTGCCATACTTGAGCCCATTGATGCTGCCGTTCTGCCAATCCATCTCGCTGGGGGTCTTCCTCTTTTTCTCTGACCCTCCACCTTACCAAACTCGATATCCTTTTCCAGCAACTGGTCCTTCCTGACAATATGTCCAAAGTATGAGAAACAAAATTTGGCCATCCTGGCCTCCAAGGAGCACTCTGGTTGCACTTCTTCCAACACAGATCTGTTTGTTCTTATGGCAGCCCATGGCACTTTCAATATTCTCCTCCAACACCATAACTCGAAAGTATCGATTCTTTTACCGTCTTCCTTATTCACTGTCCAGCTTTCACATGCATATGAGGTTATTGAAAATACCATGGCTTGGGTCAGGCACACCTTAGTACTCAAGCTGACATCTTTGTTCTTCAACACTTTAAAAAGATCTTGTTATAAGATCAACATCAACAAAAATCAGTTGGATTCCTCTATACCAAAATACAGAACCTCCCAAAGGATGAAATATCTAGGAATAAGTGTAACCAGAGAAACAAAGGACTTACACAAAGAAATCTATAGAACACTATTATAAGAAACCAAAAGAGACCTACAAAAGTGGAAGAATTAAAACTTGACCTACACCTATGGATGCAGTAACTCAAAAGAGGGAACAAATCTTTACAGCGAAGATCATTCCCACCCCCTCCATACACACAGTAGACAGGGATGGGCAACTTGGACACTAGTTACCCAAAATGGGGGGGCTACAAAGTCAAGAAGTGACTGGCTTAAAAGCTTACAAGAGGGAGCCTAGGTCCACAGGGCGTGGAGGAAGGTAGAATCCCCACTGAGTAGTACCCAATCTGTCTGGGCAGGGCTGATGAAAAGAAATGAGGATAGGTATCTTGTGATACAATAGTGAATAACTGTTATCAGGACTGATTGTGAGGGTTGAAACTGTAAAGGTAGACATTTTGTAGCAAAAGGAGGGGAGTGGTTAACTTTGCAGTATAGGAGCCGAGGTCCCTTGGACCATCAAGGGAGAAGAGTAGAGAGTGGGACCCTACCCAGAGAATCAGTGACGTCAGAGATGGAGGCAGAGACGATGATGTGGAGAGATGGAGTGGCTGGGGACTTTAGACCCAGAGAGGGAGAGGGGCTGTGTGCTGACGACTGGGGGGCAAACTTGCAGGGTATACCCTTTGGTTGGTTGATGATGCATGGAGGGAATTGTAACCATGGCAATGAAAAGATATAAGACAGGAAGAATGTAAAGCTAATGTTCTCCCATGTAAACTATCACATAATTCACAATAAAACATAAAAAAAAAAGTATTTCTACAAAATCATAGAAACCTATATTTAAATAAAACATCAGAATGTGAAGCTAAAAAAGATCTTGTGCAGCTTTGCCTAATGCAAGATGTCATTTGATTTCTTGACTACTGCTTCCATGAATGTTGATAGTTACATTGTCACTATGAGTCGGAACAGACTCCACCGCACTTTACAGCAACAGCAATAGGATTTCCAAGGCTGTAAATCTTTAAGAGAGCAGAAAGCCTCATCTTTCTACTGAGATGATTGGTAGAGTCTACAGAGCCTAGAGAGCCACCGTACTTCCCCTATAAAGATTACAGCCTAGACAATCCTATAGCAAAGTTCTAGCCTGCCTAGAATCAACTGAATAGAACACACGTTTACTGAAACAAAAGACACATGGACTGACAAAAATATCTGTGATTTGTCATTTAAGAAAAGATGTATAGGCTTATATGTTAATTGATTTGCTAGTAGTTTAGAGTCTCTGGTGGTACCAATGGCTATGTACTTTACTACTCAAACTAAATGTTGGTGGTTTAATCTAGGGATTCAAACAGGTTCAGCCCATTTCAGTCATAGCTGACGAAGTGACACCAGAACAGACCTGAATCTTTTAAATGTGGGTGAACCAGAACTCTAACTGGAACAGGAAAGGTTACAGTTTGAAGCCCTGCTCAAAACTTAATCTCCCACTTAGAAAACAAGGGCAGTGTGTGCCTTGCATAGCAACTAAATCTCTTGATTGACTGAGTTGAAAACAATGGCACCCAGCTCAAAGATGGCAGTCAACCAAGCTGCTTTGAATGTGTGGCTCTCTATCATCCTGGCAAGAATCTAATGGCTCCTAAAAGGAGCCACTACACCTCGTCTCATCCTCCCATTCCAGGCCTTCAACCCGTAAGTTTTCCTGTTCCAGTTAGCATTTTGGGCCACTCAAAGTTTAAACATTCAAATCTGTTCTGATTTTGCTTCATCAGCCATGACTGAACTAGTTCAAACCCATCCAGAGGTGCCTTGGAAATAAGTCCTGGCAATCTGCTTCTAAAAGGTCAGAGCCTTGAAAATCCTATGGAGCACTTCTGCTCTGCACACATGAGGTTGCCATGAAGTGACTGGACAATCACTGATGCTGACACTAACAGCTTAATTGGAACCCTTTGGATGGTAACAGTATATATATATTGTTATTGTTAAGTGCCGTTGAGTCGTTTCTAACCCATAGCGACCCTGTACAGGGTTTCCGAGGCTGTAAATCTTTACAGGAGCAGAACGCCTCATCTTTCGAACTACAGGCCTTAAGGTTCACAGCCCAATTCGTAACCACTATGCTACCAGAGCTCCTTAGAGAGAGAGAGAGAGAAATTGTTTGCCATGTGCCAGACAATTTCCTAATTATTTTCTATATATTAACTCATTAATCCTTATCACAAATAAGAACAATATTCCCACTACAGATATGTGGTTGGGCCAAACGGAGATGAAGTCCATATATGATTTATGGCCACACTGCTAATAACAAGCAGAACTGGGATTGAAATCTAAGCAGTCTAATGCCAGAACCCAGGCACTTAACTGCTATGCTGAACTGTCTCATATTCAGTTGTTAAAGAATTCATGATGTTGAGATCATCCTGGAAAATCTTATCCTGTAATCTAGTATTGCTGAGTGACAAATACTTTCCAATCCATCAATTAATATTTTATGCTGACAATTAGTGTTTATTGAGCACCTACCTACAGTATTTTACAATCTCGACGGCACTTAACAACAACAAGGGCCATACATACAAGACCTTTCAGGCTGTAGTAATTGTGACAGAAGGTCCAGGTAAATACTTGTTGTTTTTCAGTTCCGACTCATAGTGACCCTGTATAGAGTTTCCAAGGAGCGGCTTCTGGGTTTGAACAGCCAACCTTGTGGTTAACAGTCCAGTGCTTATCTTACATGAGTGCTAAGGACCATCGAAGGAATGAAATCAGATCATAAGGAAAATCAATATCATTTCATTCATTGTGAGATGAATTATAAATGGACTTTTTTTTTTAACTAGCTGCTCTTTTGAAAAATTCATATTACCCTTCTACTTCATTAGCTCCATAGATAATTGAGAGCTGTCTGTTGAGGAAGTAACACTAAAAGGATATTTCTTCATCTTAAAACCCTGGTAATTCACATTTCAGAAAAAGCAAAATGAAAAGATGTTGCCTTGGAGATGTGAACAAGAGGAGGGAACTTGTGCAACTGGAGAAAGAAATAGGTGGTTAAGGGCTTAGTCTTGCAAAGAAGAGTCTTGCACGTAGTAGACACACTCACATTTGTTTATTCAATGAGTGCATGAATAGCATCCAGAATGAATTATGATAAGGCAGAGGGCAAAGTTGATTTTCTGTTTCTTTAAAAACAGGGATTCCAGGATCTAAATGGACCCCAAAGAGGACAGAACTGTCTATGGGACAGTGGGGCATAAATTTGCTTTGCTTTTTCTT